ATGACAATCCGTGCATACGTTTTTTAGTTAGGCTGTACACAAACCAGCAAACACACGCCGATGAAAACATAACCTCCTGCCAACCCCTTGGCGAGGTAATAATAATAATAATAATAATAATAGTAGTGGTGGTAGTAGTAGTAGTAGTAGTAGTAGTAGTAGTAGTAGTAGTAGTAGTAGTAGTAGTAGTAGTAGTAGTAGTACTAGTAGTAGTAGTCGTCGTCGTCGTCGTAGCCATAGCAGCAGCAACAGCATTACCATCATCAGCATCACCATCATCAGCAGCAGCAGCAGCAGCAGCAGCAGCAGCAGCAGCAGTAGATCATATCCATATCGCGCCTCAACGCGTCGCTACATCACAGCTGATCCTGTCCGCTAGGCATGCAGCGACACCTGCCGACTTCACGCGCAGTTTATTAGCTGCTGCGCTCGAACAGCGCATGCGCACGGAGCACGCGATCGGGTTAGCGGCGGCGGCGGAGCGGGAGCTGGCAGAAGCAGCGACGGCTCAGCGCTAAGCAGTACGGACCGCGCAGCAGCAGCAGCAGCAGCCTCGCACATATATCATCTCCTCTCTCTCTCTCTCTCTCTGTCTCTGTGTCTCTCTCTATATATCTATCTGTATATCTGTATATCTATCTCGTTGCCTCTCAGCTTCTTCGTACATCCGTCGCCCGCAGCATCTTCCGCACATGGGCCTTATCTGACCGTAGATTTATCTCGGCAGCATCTCTCCGCTGAGACCGACCGCCGACGCTTCGGCCGGCCGACGTAAGCACCTCATCATGGACGTCGCCGTGCTGGTGGTGGCGACCAACGCGACGACGATCGTCGTCGTCGGCAGCGGCAATGCGACGTCGTCGGTCGGCGGCATGTGGGAGAACGCGTCGTCGGCGCTGTCGCCGCTGGCGACGGCGCGTCCGTACGGCGGCGACCACTTCACGAGCTTCTCAAACTCGTACAAGGCGATCCACGGTTACCTGAGCGTCGTCATCTGTGCCTTCGGAATCGTGTCGAACGTGCTCAACCTCGTCATCCTGACGCGAAAGAACATGATCACACCGACGAACAGCATCCTCACCGGCCTCGCCGTCGCCGACATGCTAGTCATGCTCTCCAGCCTCCCGTTCTCGCTCTTCTGGCACATCCTCTTCCTGCGGCCCGCCTGGAAACCGCTGAGTGGATCATTCGGTTGGAACGTGTTCATGGTGTTTCATATGCAGCTGACCGTGCTCTGTCACACGATCTCGATCTGGCTCACTGTTCTGCTCGCTGTCTTCCGTTACATTGCTATCAGCTACCCATCGCACTCTCGCACCTGGTGCAATCTGCAGCGGGCCACACAGGCGATCTCCATCGCTTACGCTGCCTCCCTCGTGCTCTGCATCCCCAACTATCTCAACTACGACGTACAGGCGAGTGGCGACAACGTGACGACGTCCTACACGCCTGTGTTTTCCTCGTACGCCGTCGCCAATGACGCGCTGCTAAAGAACATGAACTTCTGGATCTACGGCGTAATCGTGAAGCTGATCCCGTGCATAGCTCTAACGATGCTGAGTAGTCTACTGATGCGGGCGCTCTACACGGCCAACGAACGCAAGCAAAAGTTAGCGTCGAAGACGGGCCGGCAGGAGTCAGACAAGACGTGCGATCGGACCACGCGTATGCTGCTCGTCATCCTTCTCCTCTTCCTTATCACCGAGTTTCCGCAGGGCATCCTCTCGTTGCTCAGCGGGATTCTTGGCGACGAATTCTTCTCGAATGTGTACGTGCCGCTCGGGGACCTCATGGACATCATTGCTCTTGCCAACTGCGCGGTGAACTTCATTCTCTACTGCACGATGAGTAAACAATTTCGCGAGACGTTTCGTGACACGTTCAAGCCTGGCGTGGACTCGCAGTGGACGCGTCTGATGCCGAACGGAAACAGCAGGCTGAGCACGATGGAGATGAAGTCGTTCGTCTGATGATGAGAGAGAAAGAGACTCCGTCCCACGGACAGAGCCGGAGAGAGCGAGGAGAGAGAACGAAAGACAGAGAGAGAGAGAAAGAGAGAGAGACTAGAGATGCCACACACACATCGTATATACGTGAAGATGTATATATATATATGTA